CCAGCCATATTCTTCTCTGCCAGAGATCATTTCCCTGATTGATGGCATCTGGAGTTCTCTACACAAAAGTATTTTAAAAGCTGTTTCAGGGAAAAAATCATTTTTTTCTTATTTCTCTTCTCTCAAATTTTAATAACCCTTAGAATTTACAGCTAATAGCCTCTCTTAGTTCCCTTCTGTTGTTTCCTATTTTGTATTCTTGATACAAATATGCTGGGAATTTGTTATTGTACATACATTTGAAGAAACCAGTCTTTTATTTCTCAGTGAGAAATAACATATAAACGTAAAGTCCCAACTATGGAAAATCCACATTCCCCGTGCAAAGGCAAATCTTAAAATTAGGAGGACTAGGAGGATTTAATTAAACTATAAAAGTGAGTGCATTTTCACTCATATATTCCTCTTATTTCCCCCTTCATTGCCCTCTTAAGCAATCTCATCCAAACCTGTAATTGCCACCTGCACACTAACAACTATGAACATTCTACCCCTGATCCTAACAGCCTCTCCGAGGTAGGTGTCTGACATCTCCTCTTGATGTCTCGTGATACAGAAAGTCATCCGCTGACCAGGTCTCCTTTTAGTATTTCTTGTATTCCTGAACCGGACCACCCTACATCCAGTTTTTCCAGTCAGAACTCTCCTTCTTCCTCACCCAACCATTCTGCAGCTAATCCTGATGATGTTACCTCCTAAATCTCTCTCCTACGTGACAGCTCACTTTTATCCCTGCTCCAAGCTCCAGGCATCTCATCTCGACTGTTGCGGTTGCCTCTGTCTTGGTCTGCCAGTGGTCCTCCCTCGCTGTTCTTCAATCCATTTCACTTTGAAGCTTGAAGTGCTTTGGTTTTTTGGTTTCACAGCTCAAATATGGTATGTTTAAAGCCCACCCAAAGCTTCCTATTTCTTTCAGGACGAAGGTCAGTATTCTTAGCCTGGCCTTCAAGGTCTACCTACCTCAAAGCTTTTCCTTTACCTAGTTGCCCCTGGGCCTTCTGTCTCCAGCCATGCTAACCTTCTCTCCTTCTTTTAGTTTACAACTGTTGTCATGTTCCCAGGGTCTTTGCATGTGCTGATTTATCTGCCAGCATTTGCCATATATGCTCCTAGCCCCATCCCTCCTGTGCCAGTGCAAGACCTCGTTAGTTCCCCTGAAGTACATTTTTAGAGTATTGTGCTTCTTTCCTTCAGAGTGCTTGTCTCAGCATGAAGCCATTTCTTTATGTGATTGTTAACATCTTCACATTAGACCCTAGGGGAGGAACGCATCAGCCTTAATGACCATTGTCCAGTAGCTGGCACAGTGCCTGGCATATAATTTATTGAAAAAAAAGAACACAGTACCTTTTATGGATTCCTTCAGATTCTGCTTGTACTGATTAAGAGACATTTTACATGGAACCTACCCATTTCTCTCAGAAATTAAAATGTTGATAACTCCCAAGATAATATTTTCCTTCTTCAATGTAATAACAAAGAAAACTGAAGAGTACACTGAAGGCTACCAAGAAGTTTGTGAGTTATTTGACCCGTACAGCAACTGTATGAGATAATGTAGAGTTCTGTAGTAATTTGCTGATATTCACATAGATCTATCATAAGTGGGACCTGAACCCACATCTTTTGGCTTTGGGTTCAAATGCCTCTGTTGTGCTAAGCTGCCTCTTAAGTGGCAAGTTCAGAGTGGACCCTGTAAAAGTGTTTACATGATTCTATTCATTTATACCTAGTATACTGTGTTCCCGTATATTAAGTGGGATGCTTTAAGTGCCTTTCTGTAAAGGACTGTGGTTTCTATACTTTACATGCATTTCTATGAAGGATTCCTGCATCACCCCTTTTGCACCTACTACTCACACTGTGGTTTATCTTTTTAAATAATTACACAAGTAATTAATATCATTGTAAGCTCTTAATTGATTGCTTGTTATTATCTCTGAGGCTGAGGTCATCTACCTTTACCTTCTACATATTTACATTCCTGTTTTAGACATGACACATTGGCCATATGAATTTACCTACTCTCATTCCTAAAAGTAAAAATACAACAAGGTATAAAATGCATGGTAGAGGAAAACAGAGAGAAGATATCACCTGTCAAGAGATTTTAACACATTTTGAGAAGAAAGCGGAGGAATGACAACTAATTTAGCAGAGTGGAGAGAGCTTTCAGCTAAATTGCCTCCGTGAGGGAGAACATATTAAAAACAAGCCCACAAAAGTTCTGAGAGTTCTGGGACATCAGGTACAGGGAAGGGAAAGTACAGGAAGGTGAGCTTCATGGCTGGAAAGGCAGAGACATAGTGAAAATTTAGCCATGCTCCCCTGTCCTGAGCCCTGAATATCCAAAGCATGGTGATTACTTTCCAGGCCAGAGACTGGAGATTCTTCTCTGGAAATTATAAGCCATTGCTCCAAAGAAAATCCCAGTCAGATCATTTATTTATTCACTTAGTCCACAGATATTTATTGAGCTCCAACTATGTTTATTGTTCAAGGTACCATGAATATGGCAAAAACTATACCATCACTCATGGTGCATACCATCTAGTAGAGAGAAATGACGAACACATTAAAAAAATATGATTTTCAATGGAGATAAATGCTACAAGGTGACACTGGTGTGGCGAAGGCCCCTTTTCCTGCACCATTCTTATCTTTGATCAGGGAGTAAAAATATTTGGTAGAACCAGTACTCCTTAGCCCCAGTGAACTTCCACTTATCTCTCATTGGCTGGAACCCCTAGATGCAAAACATCTTAGAAAAGCAAGCATCTATCTGAGAGGAATGCGATAGCCAGGCCTAGCTTAGCCCTAACAGATTCATCCTGCAGCTGAAATGTGGTCCTAGCTTAACCCTAACGGATCCATCCTGTAGCTGAATTGTGGTCCTTAGTAAATCAAGGCTCTCATCAAGGGAGAAGAAAGAAATTGCTTATGTGGAATCAAGGGGCAATGTCTGCTGTAAACTTATGCCTGGATTGCTTGCAAGTTTAAATTGTCCCTCTGTTGGTTTCTCTAATTTCTTTTGAACATGCAGAGCCCACTGACGGCTGTATATCAATACAGCTATATTGCATTCAAGGTCATGTGACTCAGAATCTGCGTTAATAGAGTAGGATGCCAGAAAGCAATCAGAATGTACCTTAGTGTATTCATCTGATAGGTATGTCATTATTTATTTACTCAATACACATTTTTACCCAGTCTTGATATATACCAAGCCCTTGGGAAACAATTAGATGAAAGATAATTGCTAATATTTGTTGAGTTCTGAATACTATATTCCTGGTATGATTTTAATTATTTTGCATGTATAATCTTATTTAACATTAATAACTATGCATGGGAAAGGTATTACTATTTATGTCCATTTACTGATGAGGAAATTGAAGTAATAGTCCGAGGTCAACTAGGGATGTGGGCCTAAAATGTAACCAGTAAGCTGGACTGCTGAGATGAATAAGTAACAATTCCTGTGGCACACTAAATGAACAAAGTAAGAGATAATAGTGTGGTTCTTAAGGTATTAACTGTATAATTTTTGTAATAATTCATATAATTTTCCTGAAATTTTGGTTTACATGGTTTATTATGAATATAAGTTAGTCAAAACATTTAAAATTATTTCAGGGATGCAGAAAACGATCCTGGTAATAAAGACCCTTCTCTCATCCTCCTAATGTTTTCTTTCATATTATTCCCATTGACCCTCCATAGGAGGGAGGATCATTGTTATCTGCCCTCTATTTAGAGAGGCAAAGTAACTTTCTTGAGGTCACATAGTTAATAAGTGGTAGCAAAAGGATTCAGATACAGGTTTGCGACTTAAACCCTATGCTGTACTTGCTGAAAGTCTGCAGAGTTCAAATCTCATCTCTACTACTTGCTAGCTGTGTGACCTTGAGCAAGTTACTTAAACACTCTGTGCTTCCGTGTTGTACTATTTTTTAAGTGTGCTTTTCATAGCACCTTCTTCTGTTACCCACGGATTTATTTGTTTTCTTTTCCCTTCTTGTATGCTAGATCTGTTTTGTGTCATGAAGACATTTTAGTTTTTCATTCTAAGCTTTAGGGCTCATTCACTTGCCTGTACAGCTAGAGCTCGACTTACGACCACGGTCGGAACCGTGGACCGATCGTAACACGATTTGGTCGTAAGTTGAGTAGGCTATATGTACAGTTGAAATGGTGCACGCAGAGATGGTAGTGCTGCCAGAAGCTGGTCCGCACTGTCGTACGCCCAGCTGGGCAACGTTTGCGCTGCCAGACGCGGAGCAGTCATGGCTAGCGATTGTGGTCGTAAAGTCGAATGGTCGTAAGTTGCATAGGTGGTAAGTCGATCAATACCTGTATGTATTTGCATAGTCAGCTGTTCCTCTCATTCAAGAGTATCTATGAAATACGGTATTCAGCTGCCTACTATTTTCCTATGCAGATTAATTAACGTGGTTGGCATTAAACATGGTAAAATTGCTTGTCTTTTAAAAAACTACTTGATGATGAAAAGAATTACATTAACACAAAAAAATCCTGTGTCTTTAATAACCATTTTATGACACGAACACTGAAAGTAAAACCTAGAGAAGGTCCATTAAACATAATGAAATACAATTATGAATTTATTTTATCTATGTTTAGAGACATTCTGAAAAAATTATTTATTTAAAATAGCAATAAAAGAATAATTAAATTTCTCAGGGAAGGAAATATAACACATGCCTTTTAAAGAAGTAATCAGTCTCTATCTGAACCAACTTCTAGAGTTAAAGCTATTGCTAAGTGAATCACTGAGAAATATTGAATGTATAATTGTAATTGAGAAGTAAATTTTATCTCATAAGGATGGCCGAGCTTCTGAAGATCAAGAATTAAGGTTTTGATATATGCTTGTTTTTTTTTTTTTACGGTAAGTAGACAAATAAATTATAACTCAAGGAACTAATCATAGGTATTCACATTTTATGTAGTTTCAAACTGTAATTTAATTTCTTTAGCTTCTGATTGTAGAAAATGAGCAAGAAGACATCAGCAGAGGTGGGAGAATAAATTAAAATATCTTTTTACAAAAAAATTCTGGCATCAGTCTAAATATATCTTCACTAGAATACAGTTACCAAAGCATATTCTGAGAATTCCTGGGGGTTACTAAGACCCTTTCAGGGATCTGTGAGGTTAGCTACAATATTAAAAGTGGTAAAATGTTACCATGTTTTAGGTACAAGGAAATTTTTGCCTTTTTCACTTATATTCTCACACAAGTGCACAGTGGAATTTTCTAGAGGTTGCATGATGTACGATGATCTCATTATTCTGAGGACTAATGGAATGAGCTTTTGTGCATTCCTGTGTTTTAAAACTCTGCTCAAAATTTTAATACAGTCAATACACACTGATATAATCCACACAAACAGGAGACCTTGGGTGTCTTCAATAATTTCTAAAAGAGATAATGGATCTCTAAGACCACAAAGTTTGAGAACCACTGCTCTAGAATAAGATAGCTTCTGATGGATGAGGGGATCTCATCTTGCAAGTGCTGCTGACATCCAGCCTGTTGAAGAAGGGGGACCACAGACATGCCTGAGAAGTTTAATTTTCCCTTTCAAGATCATTCCTTGATATGTATCATACAAACATTTGTTTCTGGATTTCGTGTCTGTCTCCCTGGCTAGAGCAAATGCTCTATGAGGGTAAGGGCTTTTTGACTGCTTTGTTCAGCACTCTATGCCCAGTAATTAAATAATTAAATTTCTATATATAGAAATTTAACAGCAACCAGTACACCTTCAATACTCATTTGTTTAAATCTGAAAGCATTGATTAAAATCAAAGACATTGAAATATTTAACTGTTTACTATGTGTTAATCTTGTTACATATATTATCTATAATACTCTCAGAATCCCTTGGTGGAAGATACGTTATTTCTATTCTGTTTAAGAAAGTGAAGTAACTTGTTCCAGGTCTCACAGTCTGTCAGGGGTGGCCTAAAGACTTACACATTGTGGCCTCTGCTCTATTGGCTCCTGGTTGAGGCCAGATAAGTAGGGATACGTGGCAGATATCACAGATCTAAGGAGTTCAGTACAGAGAGGTCAACTTCGGAAGAAAACAACAGTGCATTCTAGGGATAGGTGCAGGCAGGCAGAATCTCATGTCAAGGAGGTCAGAGTCAGAGAAGAAGCACTGGAGGATGGATTGGTAAACTGAGTCTGTGACAAAGGCAGATCACTTTCTGGCTTGTTTCATGCCCTTTGTTTGAGAGGCAGGGCATCATAGTGATTACGACGGGGGGACTGGCGTTTGCCTGCGGGGATGTGAGTCTTAGTTCTTCTACCTGCTTGCTGTGTCATGTCTGGTTAGTTGCTTCAGCTTCCTGTGCTTCAGTTTTCTCATATGTAACGTGAATGTGATGATAATATTCCCACTTACCTTGTGGGATTGTTTTGAAATTAAGTGAATTGATAATATTTGGATAGCCCTTAAAATGGCACCTTGCTCTTACTAAGTTCTATATAAGTCGATGTAAGTGTGAGCAGTTATTTTATTGGACATTGTCAGGAGCTCATGAAAGTTCATTGCGAGTAAAAGGCATGAAACCAGGTTTCAGTGGCGTCAGAGACTGGGCTTCTGGGATGTGGTACAGAATGGTTAGCTTGCAGGTTCGGGAACCAGACTTTTGCCACTTATTGACTGTATGGTTTGGGGTTAGTTACCTAACCGTTTTGTGACTTAGCTTCCTTCCACGTGAAATAGAGAAGGCAAGTGTGCCCGTGCCATTGAATTATATAAAGTAGTAAATTAGTAAATGTAAACTATTTAGAGAAGTACCTAGACCACGTATGTGGTATACTCACTGTAGTTCTTACTGCATAATCAGATTATGCCTTCAGTGGTTAGAAAAGGAAGTCCAGTCTAATCTCAAAAATCAAAGAGGTGGCAAAAATTGTAACTAAGATGCTAGGATTTAAAATGTGATAATTCAATCACAATAAAAACAATGATATAAGAAGGTACCTATAATTAAATGACAAAATGTACAAAGAAATAGGTTAACGATGTGTACAAGTAGATTAAAAAATGTCTATCAAAGGTGAAACCCTGAGTAATGAGTTCAGAGAGGAAGGGTCAGTGTTCTTGAGCTAATAAGTCCATACTACACCGAGGAAGAGGAAAGAGCTCACCAGAGATGTGGGTACGAATCAGCCTTCAAGGAAGAGGAGAAATAGCTTGGTCTCATCTTGTCTCTTTTCCTTTCTCTCCTGCTTTGTTCTTTGTTCCATCTTCTACAATACTGAAAAGTGTAAAACACAAACACTATAGGACTGGCCACTAGAGATCTAGGTTTTAGTCTTGGTCTGATCTGCTATAACCAACAGTGTGATCTTAGACAAGCCACTTGGCCTCCTGGGACCGTGGTCACCTCATTTGGAAATAAGAAGGCCAAATTATCTTAAGGGTCCTTTCTTAGGAGGATTCTGGGAATTACCTAAACAATCCAGAAATACTAAGACTTCCTGGAATAAAATGAGGAATCCAGATGGTGTAATACCAATGCCTAGACTCACTCCTTTACCAAGGCACTAGGTACCCCAAATGAAACACCTGCACCTCCCCAGGAACCAAGATCCCTTGGACCCTCTGGCCTGACAGTCACAGGAGGACAGCCTGAGATAAGTCTATCTGGTCTAAAGTAATGCATACATAATAAGAAGTTGGTTATCTTGACATATCATTATTCCTTGTGAAAAATGCCCTTGAGAGCTTCGTTTACCCTCTTCACCTCCTCATCAGTAGTACTGTGCTAACGTTTCTGTTATTCATCATGTTTTAAAATTAGCTTCTTAATCCTCTTAATATTTTTGACTTCTCTGCCTTGAGATACACACCCAGCCTGAACTTGTTTTTTTGCAGCCTTTGTACAGCATATAAATAACAAGAATAGATTGTTCCCATAGCCTTGGCTTCTTCACTAAATTAACTACGTTTACTCATTGCTCTTATTTTTGTTCTTGGTGGAATAAACCTGAATTTTCTCAACTAAATTTGGCTTTGAAATTCTATGGTATGTTCTTTATCTCCATTCTCTTTGATGTTGTTAGGCTTTTAAATCTGTTTGGAACATCTCTTCCTTTGTTTTTAAGAGCACCCCTTTTCTATGAGGGATGCTTTCTTTGGCTTATTTTCTTTTTCTTTTACTAGCTTCTCTTTCTTCTCTACTCCCTGTCTTTGTCCATTCATGTTACTATAAAGGAATACCTGAGGTTGGGTAATTCATAAAGAAAAAAGGTTTATTTGCTGTTCTGCGGGCTGTATAGGATGCATGGTGCCAGCATCCGCTTCTAGTGAAGGCATCAGGCTGCTTCCACTCATGGCAGAAGACAAAAGCTAGAAAGGAGGCCAGAGGGGGCTGTGCTGGGGAGGTGCCAGGCTCATTTTAACAACCAGCTCTCAGGATAACTTTCACAGGAACTAATGGAACGAGAACACACTAAGTCCCCACCACCCAAGGGGAGGGTATTAATCCATTAGTGACGGATTCTCCCTCAAGACCCCAACATCTCCCATTAAGCCGCACCCCTAACACTGGGGATCAAATTTCAACATGAGTTTTGTAGGAGTCAAACAAACCAAACTATAGCACTCCCTGAAAAATCTATTCTTATGGTCCTATACTTAGCTCACTTCTTAATTCTAAATAATTATCTTCCTTGGAAATTATATTTACTAACAGCTTCCTATTTCCTTTAAGCAGGTGATGTTTATGTTTTGATATTTAGATTTCTTTTAATCAGCTGATTACTTCCGTCATTCATTAGCCATTAATTGAGCACCTGTTATAAATGATGTACTGTGCTGGTACTAAGGATATAAAGATCAGTGACTTTCTCTACCTTTAAACAGTTCTAATGGAGTCTCATTGAAGTGACAGACACAGAGCCAGTTAATGCCAACCCAATATAACATGCCAAACTAGGGTATTAAACCAACTGCTTTTAGAACCTGGAGAAGTGAGTAACCGACCTCTGAGGGCTATCAAGGAAAGGCTTCCTGGAAGAAAGGACATTGGCAGTGGGTATTAAAGATTGAGTAGGAGTTTGTGAATTGTGATGTCTCCCAACTTCCTTCTGTTCTGTTCATGCTGATGTTCCACTGGCACCTTAATTTTAACATGTCAAAAGGCAAATTACTTATCTTTCATCCTCAATTACTTCACTCACTTGAGTTTCCTATTACATTATTCTCCCAATCATCCTTTTGGCATTTTTCTGTTTCCTCTCTGTTGTCCTGCTGTCCGCCACAAAGTCATCTGCATGCTTTCTTTCCCTTTTTTGTTCAGTTGTTCCCACTGGCCCAGACACTTCATACTGTGCCACCTCCTGTCTGGGTTATGACAATGGACTTCTAGCTAATTAATCTGCCTAAGTTTGCTTTTTCCATTTAATCTGTTTTGTACATCATTGCCCATTACTCTCTTTTAAAATATCAGTTTGATTTTGTCACTCATCAAGTTAGAAATAATGGCAAACTGACCCTTCTTCAATGCTTAGATGGTTTATGAAGTGCTTTTTAAAAATGTTATCTCATTTCATTATCAAAACAACTTTGAAATAAATACTGTACCTTATTGAATATCCTCTAAATTTAGAATTCAGTAGTCTATGAGCTCCTGTAACCAGGGATAACATCATGTTAATCTCAGCTTCTTTATTGCCTAGCACAGTGCTCATTCATAAATGATGTTCAAAAACTATTATGGATTCACTCCTGCCTCGTGTCTGTGCATCTTTATGTGCCCAATTAAAAATAGTTAACCAAGCTGGGCATGATGGCTTACACCTGTAATCCCTGCACTTTGGGAGGCCAAGGCGGGTGGATCACCTGAGATCAGGAGTTCAAGGCCAGCCTGGTCAACATGATGAAACCCCCATCTCTACTAAAAATACAAAAATTCAGCCGGGTGTGGTGGTGGACACTTGTAATCCCAGCTACTCAGGAGCTAAGGCAGGAGAATCACTTGAAAATTAGCCAGGCATGGTGGTGGGTGCCTGTAATCCCAGCTACTTAGGAAGCTGAGGCAGGAGAATCACTTGAACCTGGGAGGCAGAGGTTGCAGTGAGCTGAGATTGCACCATTGCACTCCAGCCTGGGTGACAGGGTGAGACGCCATCTCAAAAAAAAAAAAAAAAAAAAAAAAAAAAAAGGTAAAAAACAAAAAAAAAAAAAAAAAAAAAAAAAAAAAAGTTAATCAGAGGACATTGAAATGGCATTATAAAGAATGACAGGAGTTTTCCGAATGTGTCCAGTGCTGATTCCACGCCCTGCTCAGCAATCAGAGAATCATTTCTCCATGCTGTGATTGCTGCTGTTGCTGAATTGCTCTTGAGCCTCAAGACTCCTAATGGATTCTTAACATTCAGTGCTATGTAGATACAGAACCACTCCTTGTCAATAGCTCGCCCAAGACCCTTGCACACAGTAGTCTCTATTATTCTTAAAATCAGACCTAATTGTCTTCCATAGATTTTAGTGATGTGATGATAACTAAAGCACTTGTTTAAATGCTCTAGTATTTCAGGTTTTTCTTTTTTTTAAATGTGAGGGTTCTGTGCCTTATAATCTGTACTCTTTGTTTATCTGCCTGTCTTAACTCCTGAATTCATAGGAAAACTGGTTGTAGAAGGGATAATATTAAGTATACTTAAAAATTAAGTATACTTAAAAAGTATAATGAAGTAAAATAATTTAAATCTCGTCTGTGAGGATTTGAAATTTTTGCACCTGACAACACAGTAAAACGGATCTGTCTACTCCTGTCTGGCATGAACCAATTTGCGTAGAAAGGCTGCATGACTTTTTTGGTTGTTAATGTTTTTATGAAATCATAGAACATAACCCAGACTGAAATTTGAAAGGCATTTTGCCAACACAAAGAATATAATGAACCGGCAAACTATTTAGAAATGTGCTTGACTTTGTAATAAGAATTTATGTTCTTTCTCAGCCAAAATGGTTTGAAGCTGTGAGGATTTCTCTCCAAGAGTCCCTGCTGCCATCTGCTGGTCTTTATTATTTTGCAGCCAACTTCTGAATGGAGACTGGATGACATGGTTCCATGAGATGGATTTTCAGGGGAAAAATATTTTGAAATTTTATTATGTCTTTTAAATAGAAGTAAATATAAAAACGAGATTAAATAAACACGTAATCTGCTTAGAAAAATTTATTTTTATACAGTCTTGGACATAAATTTAAAACAGGATCCCAGGAAAAGTCGTGTTTTTCAGACGACACGTATTTCTATGAGTGAAATCAGGTGGTTTAAAGCTGTGATAGGTTTGATTTGAAGTGAAGTAAACTCCAAACTCAGGGACTCTGTGTGTGGATGAGGGAGAAGTTGGAATATTGGGAGAAGAGGAGACTAGCCTTCTAAACCAGTGGTTCTCAAACGCTAGCTGTATCAGAATCAATTGGAAGACCTATTGGAAAAAAGGTGATGGGCCTTATCTAGTGGTACCCTTGTCAGTGCTTCACAACTGGCTTACTGGCTAAAAGGCCCTGATGTGTAGCATTTGCTGACTTCCATGGCATAAATACTTCCACTGTGGCTGGTTTCAAATTTTCCACATGGCATCCCTAAATGTAGAGTTGAGAAGAGATGTACTGTAGCTCACCATTATGTCACATTTTCAGCATATGCCTACAACAGATGCACACAACCTCAAGAGCACAGATTATAGCAAAATCATGTTATTTACTAAAGAAATGTTCAATTTTGAATATTTGTTGTTTCTGTTTTGATCAAGTTACCTGCAACTTTATATAATTCCTTTTTTTAGTGATTATATTTAACAAACAACTGATAAAATTCCTAGAAATTTAAGTTAGTCCCTCAAAGTGGGTAGGAGCTGGCTCCCAGTATATGACTAGTTCTACCTGTAGAGTATCTGAGGTGGGTCGGTGAGTCTGGGGACACTGAGACTGGTCAGATGAGAAGGACAAAAAGATCCATATAGTCGTTAAAAGGTGCTTTCAAGGCACTGATTGTAATGGGGAGGGGGTGATATAGAATCCAAATTTTGTAAGGAATTAAGGACATGGAGCTAGTTACTTTGATTCTGGATGGCAGAAAAGTGGGAGCCTTAATGATCAGAGGGCCGAATGAAGTAGAAGAATTGTTGGAAAGATCAGAGAGAGGAATATCTGAAGTGTTTATTACTTCCATTTTAATTTATAACTTGCAAGTTTGTATGATTTTTAGTGGTGGCTTTAGGGTTTTTGCTTTAAAAATTCAGGTTATTTTTCTCTGACCTTATAATGGATATTTGATACCTAAGGCATAAGATATTTTGTTAAGATAACATTAAATTACTATATTATCATAATTTTCCTTTCTTGAAGTTCAAATAAGGATAGTGATAATAATCTCATATATGATTAATGCCAAATGACATACAAAACAGGGGTGGGATTTGTGTGAGAGAACATTGGCATTTGCACCAGACAGCTGGATTCAAGTTTCAGATTATTCATTTAATAGCTGTGTAACTTTGAGCATGACTATATATATATGCCTCAGTTTTCTCATCAGTGAGATTAGCCTAATAGCTTCTACAACTAGGCATTGTTGTAAGAATTAATTGTGTGTGTAAATTACCTGGCATAGTGGCTGGCTCTTCGGAAATGGCAGCTTTTTTTTTACTATAGTATTAGTAAAAATTTACATTAGACCCATCCCACAAATACTTAAGAAATAGTTTTGGTTTGTTTCTCTGAAATACACTACCCCCAAATGAAATTGAATACATTGAATTATGTCAGTAAGATTATATACAAAGAGTCAGAGAATATTGGAACATCAGTATTTTACCCCAACTCCTGTGATTGTTTGGAGAACAGACTTCAGAAGATGGCCAAAGAATTAATGGCAACTGAATGGGAGAAGGATTCTTTCCCTGCAGTTCTTGCTTATCATAAATGAAGAGTGTTCTGCTCTTTATCCAAATTGATATGCCCCTCTGTTGGTTTTTTAAAACTAAATTTTAATCTGAGTTCATTTTCATAATCTTTCTTCATAAATTTGTTTCTTTATTGACTTTTTAATCAGGAGGCTTATAAACAAATTATAGCTCTTAAAGAAGAAATCTTATATGAGAGCTCTTCGACATGAGATATGTACATCAAAACAATAGTGAGATATCGTTTTTATCTCTGAAATATGAGAAGTGAATGAAGCTAACACTTGATAGGGGAGACCATGTAGTGAATCCTTCACGAAAGATTGTAAATTGGTACCTTTTTGAAAAACTATCTGATAATACAGCAAGAGTCATAAAAATGCCCATGTATTTTGACATAGCATTTTTTTTATCTGTAACACATGTATTCTCCATCTATGCATATACTCGAAGGAAATAGTTAAGCAGTGTTGGATGAAGATTTCGGAACAAATCTATTCATCACAATGAAAATAGCAAAATAAGTATGTAAGAGATAAACTGAAGTCTAGCAATGTGAGAGGATGGTTTAAAATGATGGCACATTTATGCAATGGTAAATGCTGTAAGATTGATTTTTTTGAACAACAAAAAAATAAAACTAAATATTTTGTATAATCTCAGTTCTATAAATAATCACAGAAAAAATTTTGGAATGTCTGTCAAAACATTAACCATTATTATTTCAGTATGGTAGAAAATCAGGCCGGGCACAGTGGCTCACACCTGTAATCCCAGCACTTTGGGAGGCCAAGGTGGATACACTTGAGTCCAGGAGTTTGAGACCAGCCTGGGCAACATGATGAAATCCTCTCTCTCCAAAAAGTAAAACATTAGCTGGGGATGGTGGTACACACCTGTAGTCCCAAGTCCCAAGTCCCAAGTCCCAACCTCTTGGGAGGCTGAGGTAGGAGGATTGCTTGAGCCTGGGACATCGAGACTGCAGTGAGCCATGATTGCGCCACTGTGCTCCAGCATGGGTGACGGAGCGAGGCACTGTCTAAAAAAAAGAAAAAGAAAATCAGACAGCTTTCATTTTGTTCTTATTTAAAAAGCGATTTTCCAATAGTCTACAATAACAATGTTTATTTTTATATTACAAATTTTAATATATTTTTATATTAAAAAAGAAACTTTAAAGCATGCTAAACTTACTGAGGAAAAGGCACCATACTACTTCCTTCCACGTTTGACTCTCTTACTCTTTGCTTCCAATAATTGGATTTCCACCATTCCTTCATTATTGGAATTGCTTGCTTAGAAGTAATTGGTGTCTTAAACAGTCAACTGCAAAGACCTCTTCTTAGCCCTTAGCTCACTTAATTTTTTACATAATCTTACTTATTTGCTTCTTTATTTTTAAATAACAGCTTTACTGAGATAATTTATATGCAGCCATCCCTCAGTATCCATGGGTTCTGAATCTGTTTGAATCAACTGTGGTTTGAAAGTATTAAAAACATATATGATTGTGTCTGTACTGAACATGTACAAACTTTTTTCTTGTCAGTATTCTCTAAACAATACAGCATAACAACAATTTACATAGCATTTACATTGCATTAAGTATTATAAGTAATCTATAGTTGATTTAAAGTATCCAAGAGTTTTTTAGTAGTTATATGCAAATACTACATCATTTTACATCAGAGACTTGCGTATCTATGGATTTCAGTATTCATGAGAGACCCTGGAACAAATCTCGCATGGATATTGGGGGCTGTGTATAAGAAAATTTATCATCTTAAAATGTACAATCATTGTTTGTCCTTGGCATGCTCATCTTTTTGAACTTCTGTGACTGGGGATCACCCTGGTTTATTTATTAATATTTTTTAAAAAGTCATTGGGTGCTACCTATGTGCTAGGCACTAGTTCCTCTCCTAACTCTTCTTTTTGGTCTTCTTTGCTAAATCCTCTCCCCA